AGGGAGAGAAAATAAAAATCTACTGAATTATATACACTAACAAAAACAATATATGAACAAAAACAACAACTCTGTAACGACTAGCTAAAACACGATCGATTCAAGCTGCGACTTACTTTATACTTTATCACAGCTTCTTAAGAATGGGCGCGCTGCCTGTAAGCCATTAGGAAGAGGAGAGAAAAATCTACCGAATTATACAAACTAAAGCAATGTAAAAAAAGCTGCATTTACTAGCTACAACACGATCGATTTTAGCTATGTACTATTCAATTTAAGAAAATCTCCCTCTTAAACTTGGGCGCGCCGCCTGTAAGCCAAAAGGGAGAGGAGAGAATAATCTACTGATTTACCAAACTAACACAGCGTATAAAAACTGCAATTGGCTAGGTAGTAAAACATGATCGACTCAAACTACGAATGTTTCAATCTAAAAAAATCTCTCTTCACCTCTTAAACTTGGGCGCGCCGCCTGGAAGCCAAGGGGGAGAGGAAAGAGTAACCAAACTAACACAGCGTATGAAAACTGCAATTGGCTAGCTAGTAAAACATGGTCTATTCAGGCTACGAGTTTTTTACCGTTGAAAAAAATCTCTCTTCACCTCTTAAACTTGGGCGTGCCGCCTGTAAGCCAAGAGGGAGAGGAGAGAATAATCCACTGAATTATCCAAACTAACATAGCGCATGAAAACTGCAATTGGCTAGGTAGTAAAACATGATCGATTCAAGCTACGAGTTTTTTACCCTTGAAAATAATCTCTCTTCACCTCTTAAACTTGGGCGCGCCGCCTGTAAGCTAAGAGGGAGAGGAGAGAATAACCTACTGAATTATCCGAACTAACACAGCGTATAAAAACCGCAATAGGCTAGCTAGTAAAACATGATCGACTCAAGCTACGAGTGTTTCAATTTAAATATTTCTCTCTTCACCTCTTAAACTTGGGCGTGCCGCCTGGAAGCCAAGAGGGAGAAGAGAGAAAAATTTACTGAATTATCCAAACTAACATAGCTCATGAAAACTGCAATTGGCTAGATAGTAAAACATGATCGATTCAAGCTACGAGTTTTTTACCCTTGAAAAAAATCTCTCTTCACCTCTTAAACTTGGGCGCGCCGCCTGTAAGCTAAGAGGGAGAGGAGAGAAAAATTTACTGAATTATCCAAACTAACACAGCGTACAAAAACTGCAATAGGCTAGCTAGTAAAACATGATCGACTAAAGCTACGAGTGTTTCAATTTAAATAAATCTCTCTTCACCTCTTAAACTTGGGCGCGCCGCCTGGAAGCCAAGAGGGAGAGGAGAGAGTAACCAAACTAACACAGCGTAAGAAAACTGCAATTGGCTAGCTAGTAAAACATGGTCTATTCAGGCTACGAACTTTTTGCCCTTGAAAAACATCTCTCGTCACCTCTTAAACTTGGGCGTGCCGCCTGTAAGCTAAGAGGGAGAGGAGAGAAAAATTTACTGAATTATCTAAACTAACACAGCGCATGAAAACTGTAATTGGCTAGCTAGCTAAAACATGACGATTCAATCTACGAGTTTTTCCCCCTTTAAAAATCTCTCTTCACCTCTTAAACTTGGGCGCGCCGCCTGTAAGCTAAGAGGGAGAGGAGAGAAAAATTTACTGAATATAGCTCATAAAAACTGCAATTGGCTAGATAGTAATACATGATCGATTCAAGCTACGAGTTTTTTACCCTTGAAAAAAATCTCTCTTCACCTCTTAAACTTGGGCGCGCCGCCTGTAAGCTAAGAGGGAGAGGAGAGAATAACCTACTGAATTATCCGAACTAACAAAGGATATGAAAATTGCAATTGGCTAGCTAAAACACGATCGATTTAAGGATCCGAGTTCTTTTTACTTAAAAAATCTCTCTTCACAAAATGCGTTCCTATAATCCATTCCTCGAAATTTGAATCTGTAAATCACTTTCGGTGAAAATCTAACATCGTGCAGAAAATAATAAACGAGCTGGGCCCAGCGTGACATAAATTGAAGGAAACCATCACATTCACGGACAAAAGAATATCGCCTTTAGCTATTCAGATCCAGGAGGCACTTTGGCGAAGACTAAACAACCTAAAACTCTTATTTAGCCGCAAAGGAAGAGATTTACGTTTCAAAAGAGGTCGAAGAAAGTGCTCTTGCATCAGAGGACAAATCATGCCGACCAGAAACAATAACCGCAGAAAATCAATATCCGTGTCATGACCTCTCAGTATGAAACAAGCGGCAAAATTCACATTTACTCATTCAAAGAGTAGAACCCAGAATATAATATACCCACCAGAGAAAACAATTTTTGGAACAAGCAGCATTTTGGCACGAGGTAAAAGTCGTGTGTTGCCTACCAGCCCCCTTTTTACACTCTGTTAGATGGTTCGAGCATTTTGGCGGGATCACGGCTCTTTTGGCGCGTGTTGTAAATGCCCTTTGAATTATAATATTTGTGCGTTATTGTATAGTGATCGAGGATATACACAATACCAAAGGCAAGTAAATATTTTCCTCTGTTTTCCTCAGTGTCGTCAAACCGGCTTCACCGATGTGCTCGAACTCCGCATGCGAGAGCCATAACAAGCTGCTTCTCTACCTTTTAAATAATAAAGGTCTCTCTTACCTTATATCGGCGAACACAGTTTCTGTCCTTCGGACATAATGCGAAATAACATCCAGAACTCTTCACGTTGAACTTTTGAAACCATTTCGGCGACAATATGTAACTTACCAGGCAACGTACCGAATAATTATTACTTTGGAGGGTTCGAATTCGACCTTCATAAAGCGCTAGATTTTGCCTTTCGCTTAAGAAACGAAAAAAATATTTCTTTTTTTTCCAAGACTTGCACCAAGACCCTTTTTTAACACCAACCATGAATTTAAGTATTTTCATTAAGTGATTTTGACGAGAACCATAGCTGAGTTAAAATATCTAGCTCCGATGGTATAAATTCGGCGCGCAGAAGACAAGCTCTGATATTTGACGCAAATTTGTGTCCTGTCCTAAAATGAGTTTATTGACAGATGAACTGACAGAAAGCGATTAATGTGAACACCTGAGGTGCGCAAGGAAATGTGTCAAGACTAACGCCTTGTAGTTACTTGAGTCCAGTTTGTGGGTATCTCCATGGAAATTAAGGATCCCTGGTGCGTGCACGAAAATCGACCTTGCGGCTCGTAATGATTTATCCAGACATGAAAGCAGCAGAAGACAATTCCACTCGGCCACAACCGAGTAAAAAATAAATAAATAAAATAATAATAAAAATAACAATAATAATAGTAAAAATAATAATTATTATTATAATAATAAAGAAATAAATTACGATAGAAAACCGAAAACGAGATTACACAGCACAGGCAACCGGACACTGTGAAAAGAGAGTTTCATAGTCCACCAAGAATAATGTGTACTCAAAACAAAAGAGTACAGTAACAACGGAAATTTATCCCAGGAGTCCCACCAGAAAAAATAAAGTGAATTCACTAGGTCAAACTGACTATAACGCGAAAAGAAAAACAAAAAATATGGAACTCCGTAGGTAAAGAAATACGATAAAACCACGCCTGTGGACTGGATTTCCTCGGCGACAACTGAGTACAAAATTTGAATTGAAATTCAGTTAAAAAGGAAAAACGGGTCCTAAATTGAGGATGCGAGACAACTCTTGCACGACACAACTGAGACAAATACGGCGATAAAATAAATCGCTCAATTTAGAGAGACACCCGAAAGCCAAACCTGAGAAGAAGAATAATTATTCTCGGCGACAACCAAGTGAATGAAAGGCCTCAACCGCTCAAGAAACTCAAGACAGCATATTTTAAAGCCGGCCCCAACCGACAAAAATACCGACATAAGAAATTATTGTCGGCCACAACCGAGTGAATAAACGGCCACCAACCGCACAAGAAACTTCAAGACAGCATTTTATATATTTTAAAGCCGGCCACAATCGACTAAAAGAAGGACATAAGAAATTATCCTCGGCCACAACCGAGTGAATAAACGGCCACCAACCGCACCAGAACAGGGGCACCCAACGACAATTTTCGGAAAAATATCTGTTCGGAAGACAATTTGAGATCTAGAATTTTCGGAACATTTGTTGTAAAATTTCTTGCCTTTTTTCTGGCTAAAATTTTCGAAAACGTAAGTTTTGATCCCTTTAATTTTCGGATCACTTGACTTTCAGCTAGAAAATCCGAACAGATGAAAAATTTTTAGGGGATAAAAATATGCCTATATCTACCGTTTAAATACTAAAATACGTTAAACAATTCTATGTTTAAGTGGTTTTGAACTATATTCTCGTTGGGTGCCCCTGACAAGAACTAAACTTCAAGATAGCATATTTTAAAGCCGATCCCAATCGACAAAAATACCGGCATAAGAAATTATTCTCGGCCACAACCAAGTGAATGAATTTATAAGTGTGAACTCTTGATAAACGAGCGCTTTCATCAAAACGTGACTAGCCAAGCAGAGAAATAAAATTCAGTAAAACGGTGTGTGCCAACTGCACAGGAAACTTCAAGACAGCATGTTTTAAAGTCGGCCCCAACCGACAAAAATATCGACACGGAAAAAACGACTAAGGCAACAGGAGAGACGAGTAAACGTGGTGGAAGCAAACTAGGGGGACAAGAAATTAATTTACCTCGTGCGGAGAAGCAACAACATAGGGAAACAACAGCGTTATTAGACAGCCGGAGAAGGAACAGCGGCAGCTAAGGCAGCGTCCTGAAGATGTAAGCAGGCAAAACCACGGCCGGCAGAAGAGGTTGTTCATCGGCAAAGATAAGGAATAGCAGGAAAAACAATCCTTCCGCCCTTGCAGCCAAACTGGACAAATTTGCTTACACACGTGTTTATTTATATAGAGAAAGCCACTCCCGAGGGAGAAACGCACACACACTCCTGAAATAGATCTCTCGCTACTAATTCGTCAGAATTAAGGCCAGTGTTACACGAGCGAGCACTGGGAATAGCAATGAAGTTGATTTTGGTTTTTGCTTTCGTTTTTTCTCTCGGCGTGTTGACGCTGTTGGCGGAAAGTATTCCCCGGCAAGAAGACAGCCAAGCGCTCGTGTCAAAGCAGGCTCATCCCTCGGTAAATTACCGTTCTGATTCGCAGAACAGACTTAAGAGAGGAACCCACTCAGGTTTTTTGAATAATCACTGGACTTAAAGTCCTTTGATCTGCTCGGTGATCTCAGGTGGTGATCTTCTTTCTCGCTCGACGGACGCTGTTGTTCGCTTGGCTCACATTTTTCGCGGTCGCGCTCGGCTTTCACAGAGTCCCACAGCGCAAGTTCTCAAGCTAAATCATATCTCTAACTTCAGTCGTCGTTTTTTCTCTGAGATGATTATCGTAAGAAAGTCAATTTAGCATTCTATCATAGGTCCCAAGAAATTAAAGCTTGAATGTCTCGACTACGACCTGCTCTTTCGAGCTCTTTAACGCAATCTACGGCGCTTGAACACCCAGAACAATTCCACCGGTGCGAAGACGTTGATTAAACGAACATTCTGGACACCTCAGTTAGGTTTTGTGTACTTGATAAAAATGACCTATATTTAATATTTGAAGTAGAATTTTGTACCTTAATTCCCTGACTTCATTATGTATAATGGAACTGAGAATTTGAAAATGACGACATGAAGAATAGCGAGACGTCATTCAACATCACAATCACTGATTTTTATTCTCAACTGTTGTCGCCTAAAACTTCCGTTATCCGAGTTCAAATGTTTTGAGAAATCGCTTCTTATCGGCATAATTACCATCAACCGAATTGCAAAATTAAATGAAACTGTTGGGAAAAAAATTACAAGGGAGATTATCGAATTAAATTGCAGCCAGTTAAACATCAATCAGTTTAAGAGAAGTTACATCTTATTATGTCTTGTTGCAGTTCGCTGGCGCAAAGTAAACAAGTTGCCAGTATGTTTTGAAGCCAAAGGCAACCATTTCGGAAGATTTTACGTCCCGGAGGGAAGATTAGCTGCGATAAAGATGGTACATCTGTACGGATACGTGTCCTGTCACGTTCACAACCAATATTTCTGGTCCTACTGGGGCTGTGGCGACAGTCCGGCGTCGCGTGAGTTAGTGGATAAAGTCAACGCTGTCATCACAGACTCAAGCAATAACATTCTACTCCCGCCACTTCAGTTCCAGACGAGCAGCAACTTAAAGTGGTACAGGGTTCCCGGATATAATTCCCTATCACCTGAGCTTGTTCTGCCATCCTTTTCGTCTCCGGAAAAGGTCCATTCCAACCAAGAATTACGCGTCTGGTTCGGTGAAAACTTGGTGAATATAAGCGAAGGAGATAACGGAGGAACAGTGTGCGCTGATGTCTACGCTCTCTTTGTGTGACTGAAGAGACGCAATTGCTGCTTTTTCTAAGGGTTTTAAAAAATGTAAGGGCTTAAAGGCAATTTTGCTACACCATCTTTCTCACTTGAATCAAGTTCGACATGAACTGTGCTCGTTTCGTCTGTCAATTGACATTATTCCTATAAGTATTTTTCAAGAGAAAGCAAAAGTTAAGATTAAATGATTAAATGATTTTCATACATTGTAAAAGTGCAGCAATAAAACTGATCGTAAAACGCATTTTCCGAGTTTTCTGCTTTTGTTGCGGGGGCAAACTTCTACAATATCCGGCGCCTGTTGCAATAAAAACCCAATGTCAGACGGAACTGCCTACGTTTAGACTAGAGTTAAAATAAAGAGTTCGACTAGGCTGAACGTCAGAGCTAACTGCTAACGTCTGCATGGCGTTAAATTATGAGTTTGAATGAACTGAACGTCAGACGCAACTGTTAACAATAAAGTGTTTGACTGGGGCATGTACAAAAGGGGGAGGGGAGGGTTGGGCGAAGAAAAATGTGAAACCACGGAGGTTATTTGAAAACACGAATTGCGACTGCATCGAAACAAGATAGAGGAGGTTGAATGACGTAACAGGTCCTTAGCAGCGCCCAATCCCATAGTCCCTTCATTATCAGATCGCCCCAGGGATGATGGGGGGAGGGAGGGCTGCTTCCCACACCCCTCCCCCTGGTGTCCTGTAATTCTTCCTCTTTGAATCATATCAGTGGGTATCACTGCAAAAAGGTAGTCCTATTTCGGGGCTCAGTTCTGAAACGGGGACTGTTATCGTCCAAACGAAGTTTTTCTTCACAAAGTGAAAGAAATGTACTTGCCAGTTTGTCTCATCAGAAGTGCTGTAAGAAATCAAGTTTACAGTTCAACAAACAATTTTGTTGTCAGTGATGACCAGTCCGAACGGCTAGTCTCGAAAAAAGCTACCGATATCGGCATCTTATAAACACTAATTTTGAGATACATAAACAAGTAAAAGCTAACGATATAATATCCCGACGTTACGGTGACCTCATGACGTCATTCTCATTGATGGTATCGATACCGGGTTAAATTTAATAAACCTTTTACAAGTGTAATTAGCAACTGTAGTTATTGTTTTCAGACTCTTAAACAATACCTACACTTTTAAATTACAAGTGTAAAAGTTTTATTAAATTGACCTCTGATTTGACTTCAAAAACGTATTCACACGGATATTCTGGGGGGGGGGGGGAAGGGAATGGAGGTGGGGAGAATGAGCTCCAGGGATTGGAGCCAAAGTGGCGTGTAAGCACATTTTGCTCTAAAGGCACAAGACGATCAAACCAGTAGAAATTTAACACAATACAAATCAAAAAGTAATGACTGAAATTTCACCAAATTTTGTTCTAAGATACAATTTATTTTAATCTTCTGCTAGTAATATGAAAATATAAATATACATTATTTACATTATAGACAATACAGTCAACTCTGTCATAAAGCATACCTCTATAAGACGCACATCTAAAATAGGGACCTTACGATGAAGCAGTGAAAACGTCATTGAAACTCTGACTTCGCTTCCTTTCAAACTCTTTTCCCATTATTCCAACTCGTTCAGAAGGGAAATTAAGCTGGAGTTGAAGAGGGAGGACCGCGTCTCAGCTCAAAACGAAACAGTGAAATTTATGACCTTGCCTTTTGGTAATTTCACGTCGCAGGGATGGCAAAAAAAATGACAGCAAAGCGTGATGCAGGTGCAGAGTTGTTGGTTTGCTTATTAGACCCCTTGCCTGTTTGACGTTATTGTTGCCGTCGCCGTCGCAGTATCGTCACGTCTCTAATATGAAACTTAGGATCCTTCCTTTTCTTTAGTTATTTTCTGTAACTCAAGGACACCTCTCTAAGACGAACGAGCACTCAATACTTGTCAGAGGCCCATCAGGGCTCCTGTACCGACCCCAAGTTTTGAAAACATTAATGCCAAGTTTGTGACCAAGTTTTCGTGCTCTCACTCTCTCTTCACTTCTTCAATCTTCACTACAAGGTTTATATTTTTGATTGCGATCCAGTCATGTCAATATCAACCGAACTATCACCTGCACCCAGTCCACTTACGGCCAAAAGATCGGTACCGGAAGTGACGTCAGGCGGCAGACCTGCCCCACAAGCAATGTGATCAAGGTCAAAATCCAATGTGGAGTCCACATCAAAGGCCTCTGCAACGGAAAAACAAATAGTGTCACGCACCAGACGTTTGAAACCCTTGAACCCCTTCGTGGCCAGTGACCAAGGCACTCACGTTTTGTACAAGAGAAAGAAAGAGAATTGCCGACTCCCAAGGGCTAAGGTGAATGGTGAACTCCCCTGCTCCCCACCCCCATGCATACGCGGTAATCCCTAAAAAGTTAACCAGAATTTTGTTATCGCCCAGGGTGAGAAAGGATGGCAAATATCCAAATATGGCTATAGCTTTTTATTAATATTATTATTACTATTATTATTTTTAATATCAATGTAAATTTTACAGATAAAGAGCCACCTTTCAGTGGAAAGACTGTAATAAAGTCATTATTATGATTATGATGATTATTATTATTATTATAAATGAGTACATGTACTCATTTATGAAGTCAAGTCAGAAGTGCTATAAATGTAGGCTCGACAATTCTCTTTCGTACACAAGAAGAATGTACATAGGGTATATATTTTAATATTTCATATTTTTGAATCTGTAAATAGTCTATTTTTTTTAAATCTTTGAATAAAGTTTTGTATTATTGCTATTATTTATTAAAAATTAGTATTAGTATTAGTATTGATTAGTATTAGTATTAGTATTAGTATTTTTTTTGAAATAAAAAACAAAAAAACAAAAAAATTATTATTATTATTATTATTATTATTATCATCATCATCATCTCGCAGTATAAGACTTGGGAATGCTGTCCACATTATGAGTAGTATAGGGCGCATAACGTAACCTACACCACTTGAGAAGCTATACTTAGAAGTAAAAAAAGGTCGGTACGAAACCTAATACAATCCTAATATACATAATGATATGAATCTCTCTACTTAAAAAGCCAGTTTAGAATATTATCAAATTCTTATACTCTGTAAACCCTAAGCAAAGACACGATGATATAATTATCTCTACTAGAAGCCTATTTAGAAAATTATTCAGTTTTTATAGTAATTACTCTCATTATCTCTTATATACCTAAACGAGGCCATCATAATGAGATTATCTCTACTGAAAGCCTATTTAGAATAATATCAAACTCTAATACTCTATAAAATCTAAGTAAAAACATCAGTAAACTTGTGTTTCTGGATTTCTAGAGAAAAAAAAACCCTAAAATCTGGTGTTCTTTAATAACGCCCTAACCAAGTATTTATCTTACATGTTCTGGCAATGTTCAAAGTGTTTGAGATGACCGACTTCTGCATCCGCTCAAGTACGCTTCGTGCTCTTGCTCCTAGTAGCTTCCTCACCGACTTCTCTAGGTGTTTAGAGTAACCACCCAGTACGTCAATTATTACGTTGCACTGTTCAACCTTGTAACCATTGTATCTCTGCTTCAGCTCCCACGTCATGGGGGCATACTTGAGTGTCTTTTCCTCATCTTTCTTGGCTCTACTCTCAATCCATGGACAGCTCATTTAAATGTGAAGACTTCTTTCCTCTCGTGGCTGACAAGTCGCGCGTCGATTCGATTTGCTCTAACTTCGTTGTGCTCTGCATAGATGGGAATATCCCAAAACGCCTCACTCGTGGTGTTCTGGTAGGCTGGTTTTGGCATCACCGGTGAGTACCATGGTGGAACCTCTTCTATTAACCCATGCTCTCGCAGGACCTCAAAACACAGCATTTTCACAGCTACATTTTTATGCCTGTCTAGGTACTTGGTTTGTGCCAGGAAAGAACATCCAGCCAGTACATGTGCAACGCTCTCAGCTATCTTCCCACATAAACTGCATAGGACTTCGCCGTCGGTGGAGGTTTGCGTCTTCTCCTTTGTGTAGAGCTTCGTAGGTAACAACTGCTCATACAGTTTATAAATGCCCGCGATGGTATATGTAGGGCATGTAGCCCAACCTTTTAACCATGCAGAGCAGCTGGTTATGCTTAGGCTCTCATCTTCCCATCTGATACGGAATAAATTTCCTCGCCACTTTTTGTCTTAAGCGATCTCCAAGAACTGCTTCTCTTGAGATTGCGTCAACAGATTCCCAACTCTTTCTTCACTCACCACCTTCCCCTCCGTTGTAACACACACGGGATTTAGGATATCTAGCTGAAGTGTGACGTTGAGTTCTTCAGCGTAATTAGCTAGTTCCTTTACAAGCGACTGGTGGCCTGATGCCATGGCGTGTTCTTCAAATTCTCTAACTGCTTTCACAGTCTGAGTGGTCCGAATTCTGATACAATTTCAATAGCGATTTGATTTTAGTGATCTTGTACTTGTGTTCGACTGAACGCAGGCCTCTACCCCCTTTCTCCCTCAGTAGATATAACAAAGAAGTTAGGCTAGCTGGGTGCTTACCACCGTTCTCAACTATGACCTTCCGAGCTGCTCTGTCCACATCTCATAACTCTGATAGAGGCCAATATTATTATCATTATTATTATTATTATTAAATATCGAGCGATTCGACTCCTCTAGAGAAACTGCTCCGCTTATTTGCCGATCCGGGAGGCGAAGATCATAATTGCGTTCGAGGTACGAGAACGCAACCTCTAATTTGTCTTGGGTGATCTGTGCATTATTGGGTTCCCTGTGCAATTAATAAGGGAGGTTTTTTCGAGATTGCATTTGTCGTCGTCGTCGACACACATTTGCCTCGCTTTGAGACGCTTGCTTACGTTTTGCCTCACTTTGACGAACCAACTCAGGTGGTGATTCGTGCATCCTCGGGGTTCATTGAAGCGTTTGTTAATTGAGGTCTTTTATTCTGCCTTCGTAGAGCGTTCAGCTTTTAAAAGTTTGCTGAATCTTCGTAAAGCGTACATATTTCAAGAGTTTGCTTAAGGTCTACTCTCGATCTGTCTTTGCTGAATCTTTCAAAACGTTCATCTCAGTTTCAAAAGTTTCGGCGGCTGTTGTGCCACAAAGTAAATCTACCGAGTTGTGTAGCTCGGCGGCCGTTGTGCCACGAAGTAAATCTACAGAGTTGTGTAGCACGACGGCCGTTGTGCCACAAAGTAAATCTACCGAGATGTGAAGCTCGGCGGCGCCGTTTCATCATGACTTGTGATATTTTCGGCTCCGGACAAACGAACAATTTATGCCTATGTTATTTATTCGGAAAAACTCATAAACAGCCCACTTGAGCTCCACTCAAGCCACTGAATTCAACACACTTGACCAAATTACTGCACTTATTGAGACGGACCATACGATATCACTAGCCTTCAAGGCTTTTTCATAATGATACACAGTTTAAATAGAGGTTTCGCTGTAAGCAATCCTTACGTTTAAAATATGCCATATGATGGCTACGATCGCTGTGATCGCTGCGATCGCTGAGAAAAAAAAAAACTTCAGCAATAGCAGCGATCTAGGAAACTCCTCTCCAGCGATCGCTGCGACAACAATCGCTGAGATATAAAAAGTTTTATCTCAGCGATCGTTGTCGCTGCGATCGCTGGAGAGTGGTTTCCATATGATCCCTGAACTTTTTTTTGTCAGCGATCTCAGCAATCACAGTGATCGTAGCGATCATAGGGAAACCAGGCTTAATCCATCGCAATAACCATCCACCCTTCCTCCTCAACTGCAATCCGTGCGCCTTACAAACATATCGAACGCACTCTTCTACGCTCCGATTACTCCTAGTCTGTAGAATATTTTCCGCCTACCGGTGGACCAAAGTAGAGTGAATATGAAGTTAAAGGCACCGGATTATCCCCGGTCATCCCGGAGGGTGGGGGAGGGTAGGGGATCTGGGGATTTCAAATGACTGATGCATAACGTTTTCAAAAGGTTTTAAATGAAATTTTAGCGAGCTACAAAATTGTTATTCACCGTACCTGCGGTCTCCGTTATGCTAGGGTCAGCGCCTCCACTGGCGTCAATGGCCGCATCAATATCGAAGCCTGGGTCCGACACATCAAGTCCAGCTGCTCGTGGCCCTAGCCAAGATCAATAATACAATAGGCTAATTCACGGTTGCATTTTAAGTAACCTGGCCTTTTAGGGAAAATTAAGCGACGTTGGTGGTGATTTTGTTTTGATAGAAACTTCAGGGCCATTTATATGCAGAAGAGAATAATTTATATTTGAAAAGAAGTGAGGTTTCTATCAAAGCAAGATCACCTCCAGTACAGAACTTTCAAATGCTCTACCACTTGGCTGAAAAATCAGGCCAGTCACGAAGATTTAAACTCACCAGGTAAAAATAACAAATAGGCGGGTGAAAAACAGCTAGGGGTTTATTTTCTTCTGTTTTACCATAAAAAAGCCGGAGATCACGTTCATGGTATCCGGGGGATAGCCCCCGGCCCCGGCTCATAATGACCGCCCTGTAAAAACATTTGCAGCTTTCCTTCGAGCTTTCAACCAATCTCTGCGTGTAGTGAGATATTTCAGACGGAAGCTGGGATTTTAGGAAAACAAGAATATTAACAAAACTAATCCGAAACCCGTGAGACAGTATCCGGGGGATATGTGAAAATCTATGGAGGGAAAAAACTCAAGATGTAGGAATTATCACATACCTAATCCCGTATCAAAATCCAAAGCCGAACACCCAGGGACAATGTCCGGGGGGAGATGTGATACTCCCGATAGGTTCTGAAGAATCCCTTCCAGTTCTGTTCCTTCAGCACCAGCAGCTCCAATATCGAACAGATCCGCTGTAGAGGGCAATCCCTCGATTCCCGAGGGTACAATCCCTAGGGCGCTCACTGCTGCAATAACCGCCGCCCGGTTAGCTCAGTTGGGAGAGCGTCGGTCTGCTGAGCGGGAGGCCGTAGGTTCAAACCTCGGCCGGACCAACACTCAGGGTCTTTAAATAACTGAGGAGAAAGTGCTGCCTTTGTAATAACATCTGTAAATGGTTAGACTTTCTAGTCTTCTCGGATAAGGACGATAAACCGTAGGCCCCGTCTCACAAGCCCTTGCACATGCAATAAATCTGTGGGACGTTAAAGAACCCACACACTCTTCGTAAAGAGTAGGGCACGTAGTGCCCGGTGTGGGGGCATCATCACTTATTCCTTCAGTACTTGTAAACTGCACCTTAAGCAGTCTGGCAAAGTCCCCCAACCAGTGTTGTAAATTATCCCTGAAAAGCCCCTTGGGGAGTGGATAATAAGATATTTACAATTACAATTACAATAGAATCAGACGTTGGCACAGCAGCGGGGCCTCCTGTGGATACCACCGCTGATCCATCAAGTCCAGCGGTCACATCCTGGAATGAAGATCCCATGGAGAAGTTCGCTCCTGACATAGCGGCAAGATCAAAGGAGAATTGTTCTCCTTCCCTGGTGCTGGTATCTGACGTAACAGTGTCGCTTGATTTCGGTACTGTGCCAGCCCCTTGTACAACCCCGAAATTCCCTTCATTTTTCGGCATTTCTTCGGGGAGATGGATGATGTTTGTAGATTGTTTCGGAGTTTCTGGCTTCTTCTCTTGTTTGTTAACCGTAGCTATTGATTCTGGAGCAGCTGCACTTACTTCAGCTGTTGGAAATGAAAATTTCGGAGAAATTGATGAAAACGGAAACGCACTAAACGTTGGTGAAGGCGTCTCTAACGTGAACGCGGTGAACGATGGAGAAGTTCCATGAAAGACTGGGGTGTTGGGGTTGGACGGAGTCCCCACGGCAGCAGCGAACAGAGCAGCACTGGGAGGGAGTGACAGGCTGGCAAGCTTGGTAGTTGGTTGACTCAGACCAATGGGGAGCGGAAGTTCTTCACTCGTCTTGACAGGAAGTTCTTCCCACCTGACACTTTGCGCTTTTCTTATGATACAACGCATTGCAGCTGGGATTGACAGACACCTGACGATAAAAAAGAAGTACAACGTTTAGAATAAATAGAGGCGCCGCCACCCAGTCAGCGTCGGTCTACTAGAGGGGACTTTTTTGGTCCGAGCCCTGCCAAAGCGAGCAGCCATTGTCTTAGTTCACACATAGTAGGTAGAGGGGACTGGTTATGAAAGGCTACAAACATCAAAAATAACAACAAAAACAGTGTTGCAGTTTAGGTTGAAGGTACCTCTTTGTTTTCTGTTCACAAATTGTGACGGAATAATTAATGCAGCGTTTTTGTTGGTCCATAAGATAAAAACGATAGGAATGCTGTTGAACGTTGTGCACCTTCAAGTCCACAAGAAAACATATAACAAAGGAGTCTGACCTGCTCTATAACCATTCAATGCTATTAACTATGATTAAGACGATGGCATCAGTGGGCGATGACTTTTATCCGTTAGCCTGTTCTCCTTCACCCTTCTAAATAAGAAGTGCAACAACAACAACGGCGACGGCAACAAGAACGACATAAAAAGGAATAGGTTTAATGAGCGAAAGGGGCCACCTGGAAGCTCTCGGAACAGTTCACAAGATTTGCTAGGAAAACAATAAACAAACAGCAAAATCTATGGACGCAGCCATAAA